AGAGCAAAACTACGATACTGCATGCATGTATGCAAATATACGTATACAACTGCGTCTATACATATATATATGTGTATATACAACTACATATATTGTAGAGGAGTGTCGGCCCCTGCCATACCAGTTGCTGTCCCCTGTCCCGCATCTGCGTGCGACTTGTAGTCCCGCCTTCTTCGGGCCCCAGTGCGCACAGACGGCCCCGCATGGCTCCAGGGCTTTCACGATGGCTTGCGAGTCCCCCACCAGATCCAGGGTCGCTCACCAGATGCCCCACGAGAGCCTCCAAGACGTTGAAGACGAGACCCCAGGCAGTCAGCAGTGTCAAACAGTACTAATTAGGTGTTTGATGCATTTCCGCTTCTTCGTCTTCTCTTCCCAACGTGATTCCGAGAAGAACTTAGAGGGGTCAGAGAGCCCAAAAGAAAAACCCAACATATTTCCACAACAACACCGCAGGGCCCCAAACGTCCCCCAAGAGAGCCCGAGAACGCCTCTGGAGGAGCCCCACCTGGGCCCACCAGAGCCCCAACACGGCACCAAGTTGGCCCAAGAGGACCCCCATTGGAATCCAGGATGGTCCAAGATTGCCTAAAAGTGCCCAAGTGGGCCTCAAGAGGCCCACGATAGGTCCCCGAGAGGTTGCCAAGATAGACAAACAGACAGACGGAAGCCACACGCCACAGGCGCATCGGCAAGCGCACACTCATACACTACCCGCAACGCTCTCTCAAATGCTGCCTCCAAGCAAGAGGATATTGAGCTAGATCGTGTAGCCTGCCCCCGTCTTCGCAAACTGGGCACGCATATGGTCCCAAGGCCCAGGCATCCCAAGACCGCCCCAAAATGCTGCCAGGCAACCCAGGATTCAGTGGCTTCCAAGACCGCCCATGCAAGCTTCCAGGCAAGCCAAGAGGTTCCCAGAACAGCTCCAATGACTTCACGGCAAGTGCGATGGCAAGACGCCGCATTCGGCTCCAAGGATGTGTATGTCGACCTGCAGTTCCGATTGCAGGTGCATCGACATGCCAGTCGAACTTCGATATCAGTTTCAATGCGCATATCGATGCGAACATCGTTTGTATGTGGGTTTCGTTTTCGATTCGCAGTCCTAACGTGTCGACCTCGGGGCAATCCACGGAACACTACGGGGCAACCCACGGGAAACCACGGAACAACCCAGGGGACGATTTACGAAATTGCCGCGGGACAGCCCACGGGGCAACCACGGAACAACGCACGGCAAACCCAAAGGATTTTTGTTGGGAGAGCCCAGGGAAAAACCACGAGACAATCACGGGACAATCCGCGATACGACATTGCGCGCCCCCGCGAGACATTGGAGCAGAAATATATCGCACGGTTTGGCTTTAGCCTTCGCCGGCAGATAACCACTCTCGCAACAGCTTGCCTCACATGCGCGCGCGACACTAACCGAAACCAAGTTCTAGGTTGGGATCACTTCGTTCCCAAACCCCAAAACCTCCGATGGCGAACATAATAATGTAGGAGAGGGTGCGCATAAGGGGGATGAGGAGGAGGAGGCCAGAAGGACAAAGAAGAGAGGGGAGGAGGAGGAAGAGGAGGAGGAGGAGAAAGAAGGAGGAGGAGGAGGAAGAGGAGGAGGAGGAGGAGGAAGAGGAGGAGGAGGAGGAGGAGGAGGATATGGTGGAGGAGGAGGAGGAGGAAAGCAGAGTCGGAGGACCAGTAACATGAGGAAGAGGAAGAGGAGGGGAAGAGGAGTGGAGGAGGTAGATGAGAGGAGGAAAGAGGAGGAGGAGGAGGAGGAGGAGGAGGAGGAGGAGGAGGAGGAGGAGGAGCAGCAGGAGGGCAATGCTGAGCAAGGCAGGAGGAGTAGGATGAGGAGGAGGAAGAGGAGGAAATTGAAGGAGGTTCCCACCGGCCCCCATGGGGCCTGCAGAGGCAGTCCCTCGGAGGTCTCCGGGCGTCCCTGGAGGCCTCCGGAGGCCTCCGGGGCTCTCCAGCGCCCCAGTACGTCGTACGTGTGTGCAGATCTACGTATACATATACCTGTACACATCCGTTTTTCTTGTGCATGTGGATGTGTGCATGCACGCATTCATGTGTGTGGTTAGTTCACTTTTGTGAGAATACAGATAGTGTGTGTGGGGAGAGAGAGAGAGACAGAGAGAGAGAGAGAGAAAAGAGAGAGAGAGAGAGAGAGAGAGACACAGGCACAGAGACATAGAGTCAGAGAACATGAGAGAGAGGGAACGTAAGCACGATTCGGCCCCAGAGCTCGAAGCGGCAGCAGCCGTGCCGCAACGGCAGCAGGGGGGCAGCCAGCCCCCCAAAGAGCGCCCGCCGCCGAGGTCCTTCCGCAGCTCGCGGAGGGCGCGCGCGAGTACGCGCAGGAGTCCCCCCCCCCCCCGCCCCGCGGATGGCGTCCCTGCCTCTCCAACGCAGTCACAGGGGGTCGTTTGGGGATCGCTCCTCCTCCTCCCCTCGCTGCCTCCTCCTCCTCCTCCTCCTCCTCCTCCTC